CCCTTACGCGGTGCCGTTCCACTCGAGGCTCGAATTCGGCTCACCTCGTTAAAGCATCGTAATTTTCTCGGCTTTCTCCGCGCGTAATAGGGGTTGACAAAACTATCAGACGGTGGAAAACAGCTGAAGCACAGCGGCTCGACGCTGCGCCCGCTAATTTCTCACTTCCTCATTAAAACCTCAACACACATTACGCCCCAGCCTGGCCCTCGCTCTACTCGGCTCCCCGTAGATCGTAGATCTTCATCCTACCACGGGCGAGGATCTATCCGTTCTCTCCTCGTTTCGCTTGAGCCTCGTTCACTGATTGTGCTCCGTGCTCCAACGACAGAAGACGCGAGAGGCTTGGACGAGACAACGTGTCACATTTGTCATTACAATTTTCCCCGTCTCGAATGTCCGAAGGGTAGACAGAGTGACAGAGTAAACGTTGACTGCTCGTTGGTATGTTTACCGGTATGTTTACCAATAAACAACACGGTCTATGGTACTACAGGTCCAGGAAGCTCCGTAAGAACAGGGGGCTTCTGGGTAACCGATCTCGAGTAGACGCGATTTGTCACGGAGATCCTCCATGCTGGTGGTCTGCCACTTCACGAGGACACTCGAATGGCTAGTCTCACTGTCCTATTCATTTTCGCCAGAGGATCTCGAGACTGCAGGAATTTATGTAATATCTTGTATCCGTGTTTAACGCGTGTTACTGTAAACGTTAAGCGTATTTGTTTATTTATAGTATATTCTACGTAGAGCGGTATATTTACACACGCTAGGTTGGTACGTACTAAAGGAATTCCGTGGGTATCGGTTCGTGATACGGGAATCGAGCCGTGAAATTACCGGAAGAGGCATCAAAGCCGAACCAAGCGTACACGAAGTTGCTCAATCAGAATTCCACCGTAAGAATTCATATCGCGTCCCGAATAAACCGTCTCGTTGAGTTTATTCCCGTCTAGAGAGATCAGAAAAATATAGGGGATCAGGCGTAAAGCGAGCCACGGTTTAGCAACGAGCCGTGGTTAAAATCGCCGGATTAACGGAGGAAGGCAATTAGGGTTGCGTTTAGCAAAAAGTAGAGCATCTTCCTTTTGAATCGTGTCGGCCGCGAGCTAACCGTTATTCGTGCGCGTTACTGGAACGTACGAACCGTGAAACGAGGCGAGGGAGGAAATCGTTTCGAGCGCAATTCACGTACCGGAGCCGTGGTATTCCAGGCTTTTCAGCCATCACGCAACCTCGTGCCAACAAGTTGTATTAAAAACGCACGCGATCGGCCGCTGTGCAGGTATAAATACGACATCCGCGCGATGGCGACGCGTAGGAAGAAGGGACGACACTTAATGGTCGCGTTCCTCTTTATCCTTTTTCGGTGGCACGCGATAATTAAGCGTATCGCAAGCCCTTTTGTCCTTTTCGTCGCATTAATTGCGGTTCTCGTTTCCTACCCTGGAGACACGCGTTGCTGGATATCCTTCCGGCCACGATCCTTTCATCGCTCTTCGTCTCCTGTCGCTGAATCTTCTCCCTTTGTACCCACCGAAACGCGCTAACGATCCCCGGTAATTTCCACCGAGTCTGCCCCGTTCCTTCGTTCTTTTCCCAAAGACGCGGGGGAAAAGCTGCCTAAACGATGGCACTTAGCCACCGTCTTGACCTCTTCCATCGTCCGAACCCGAGTCCGGGCGAAAACGTTAACGATGCTCCGGATTATGCTCGCTGCGGCGCTTTTCCGTGGCTTTCTCCTCTGCTGCGCTTCCGCAACGGGGCGAAAGAGGAGACAGAGAGGACCACAGGAGCGGAAAGAGACGAGCAAACAGAGAGAGCGAATCCGGAGTCACACGGCAATTTGGCGACATCCGCCATAGGCCGCACTTGTACGCGATCCAATTTAAAGTCACGAAGCCGTACGAGCCCGGCCATTCTTTCATTCGTACGCGTAATACGTGTACTCGTTCATCCATTCGTTGCCTTTGGCCACGTATGCTCCAACAGCGAGCAACAGCCACGCGTGGAGAGAGAGAAAGGGAGACGAAGGACCTGACTTTGTTTTTATTTGCCGTTTACCGTCTCTCCACTAGCCAGCCACTGAACAGGCACCCCGGGGACGGCAGCGGAAGTACTTTCATTGTGCCAGGGGACCGGCGTCCCTTTATTTTCGTCTCCGACGTTCGACTATGTTAATAAACGTTCGACGATGCTCCCCGACGA